TGTATGTGTGTATGTGTGTATGTGTATGTGTATGTGTGTGTACGTGTATGTGTGTATGTGTATGTGTGTATGTGTGTATATGTGTGTATGTGTATGTGCGTATGTGTGTATGTGTATGTGTTGTGTGTACGTGTATGTGTGTATGTGTATGTGTGTATGTGTGTGTACGTGTATGTGTGTATGTGTATGTGTGTATGTGTGTATGTGTATGTGTATGTGTGTGTACGTGTATGTGTGTATGTGTATGTGTGTATGTGTGTATATGTGTGTATGTGTATGTGTGTATGTGTGTATGTGTATGTGTATGTGTGTGTACGTGTGTGTATGTGTATGTGTGTATGTGTGTGTACGTGTATGTGTGTATGTGTATGTGTGTATGTGTGTATGTGTATGTGTATGTGTGTGTACGTGTATGTGTGTATGTGTATGTGTGTATGTGCGTACGTGTATGTGTGTATGTGTATGTATAAGTTGTGTGTATGTGTATTAAAAGTGTGTGTATGTGAGTGTGTATGTGTGTATGTGTGTATGTGAGTGTGTATGCGTGTGTGTGTGTGTGTGTGTGTGTGTGTGTGTGTGTGTGTGTGTGTGTGTGTGTGTGTGTGTGTGTGTGTGTGTGTGTGTGTGTGTGTGTGTGTGTGTGTGTGTGTGTGTGTGTGTGTGTGTGTGTGTGTGTGTGTGTGTGTGTGTGTGTGTGTGTGTGTGTGTGTGTGTGTGTGTGTCACGAAATTTATAGAGCGAGTTCCAGCAAAAGTCAATCTGAAAATTTGGTCATAACACCTTGCCAGCATCTAGACTTATCCTGCAAAATTTCGTGTGGATTGATGCGTTGATGCTATTAAAATTGTGCGTCAAACGGATCCACACGGCCATAAGCCGGCAAAGCTGATTTGAATTTGATTTTGAATCTGATTCTCTGATTTGTTCAGATTTGAATTTTTTGCAAGGCCATGATTTGCCTGACAAGTATATCTACGCCCCATAAATTCTAGCCCAAAAAGGTTTGCTTTTCTGCGAAAACACTGCCAAAAAAATGGTGATCGCGTCAGTAGTCAATTTGGCAAGGTTTTACCTAAAAATTTCAAAAGATTTTTGCAAAATGAAGCTCAAAGTGATTATTATGCTTATGACGACTACCAAGACAAAACTGGCTCAGTAATCCATTCAAATTCGCAGGTGTTCCTTTGAGAAAAAGTTTTTTCGTCAAAATTACCGATCTTACGTGGAGATGCTTTGAGAACGGACAGTTGCTTACACTTCATTTGTGATGTTCAGTATCGTGTAGTGAGTTTTAAAGCCATCTTTACACGAACATGAGAAAGCATACGGATAGGAGAGCTAGTGCGAACCTTCGCGAAGCGGAGGTGACGCACTGGTAAAGAAATAAAGGCCATGCAAGCGCTACTAGAAGTAAAGTATTAGGTTGGCCCGAAAGTTCTTTCGCACCATTTTCAAAAATTCATAACTTTTAATTTTTTTAACCGATTTGGCTGCTTTTATTTTTATATGAAAGAGTAAGTCATGCTCTTTATAATAACACCTTAGCTGCTTAATGATCATCCGTTGCATAGATAGGAGCGGTACAAAAAAATTGGTCAAAATTCGAATTTTCTGTGTAGGGTCATAAAAAATCGCAAACTTGCCACACAAATCGGAGCAGTCGATATTGTAGGTTCTTTCACAAGTTTCTAACAGTGCCAAGTTTGCGCCGATTGAGCGTTTCTATGAAAAGCTATGATTTCCCTGAAAAATGCCAAAGTAAATCAAATTCGCCCTTTTGTATTGCTTGCTCGAAAATCGTAACTTTTCATAGAAACGCTTAATCAGCACAAACTTTGCACTGTTAGAAAGAACTTGTGAAAGAACCTACAATATCTACTGCTCCGATTTGTGCGGCAAGTTTGCGATTTTTTATGACCCTACACACAAAATTCAAATTTTGACCAAATTTCTTCTACCGCTCCTATCTACGCAATGTATGGTCGAGAGAAAGCCGCTAAGGTGCCATTATCAAGATAATGAATTGCTCTTTCAAATAAAAATGGAATCATGCAAATCGGCTGAAAGAACTGGGAGTTATGAATTTTTGAAAATGGTGCGAAAGAACTTCCGAGCCAACTTAATACAGGGTGGGGCAAAAGTCTGGAAGCCTAGTAATTTTCCAGATAAAATCAGAAGGAAACTATCTAAGAATAGAAAATTTGGTGCAACATGAATCGAACCTTTACAAATATAGCGCAGCTCTCAAATTTAAAAATTGGCTCTTTTGGTTCTAAAGCAATCCTTCACAATCCTGGCAAGTCTGTCTGTCGTGGCACGCAGGCAGTCGAAAAGGAATTTGTCCCATGCCATCATGATAACTGTTTCTTTCATTAGGCAAGTGTGCAGTATGATAGAGCAAGCTTTTGGCTACAACATATTTTACAAAGAAATTTTTTTTGTGAATTTAAGAAAAAATTAGGAAATTCAAATGAAGGCAAGTGTAATCGCATACTGAAAATTTGGATGAGATTGCGCGAACGTGAGCGAAAAATCACAATCTAAACAGTATGAATTTGCTCCATTGATCAAATTCAAATGGATGCTTATATAGAAGACTCGTAGAGAGAATATGGTCTAATACTCGGCACTTGCTGCGCTCCTATAGCTTCAGAATTTTAATTTGAAGACAAATGGCCACTGGCACGCAGGTAATACTCGCAAATTCTATTTTGCGTTTTCGAAAGAATAGTTTCTGGTAAACGCAACTACTTTGATTTGGTAGTGCAAAGCCTCCTCTACATTGTATGCATCAAATTACTGCAGAGTGTTCACAGTCTTTAGCTGCGAAATAAATTCTGAATACTAAAAATTTTTATTTTTTCGCTTTGCAGAAGCACTCGCTTGATAAAATCAATTCTTACAAATAAAAATGGCGAGCATTTTCAGCTACGTAAAGTGTAGTTGTAGAAGATGATCGCGTTATTATGTGACACAAGTTTGGGATTGAAATTATCAGTAGTTTCTTGATTTACAATGCTGTAAACTTGGCTCCCAGACTTTCGCCCCACCCTGTATATAAGACTCAAAAATTGTCAGTTTGGAGGGTATGTGCGTTACAGAAACGCGCGCCGCTCAACTGATTCAGCTGAAAATTTGCACACATATGTTGGCGACTCCTGCGCAGATGATAGGCTACTTTTTGCGGCGATTCGTTGGGTTCTTCTATCGATCTATTGATTTGTTCACCTTTTTAAGGAATTGAAGACTTATCATGTTTAATCAAGCATTTTTCCATAGTCATGAAAAGGAGGGCGGTGAAGTTTATTCTCGCCTCAAGATCACGAGGATGTGGCTTTGAAGCGGATGTCACAGGGTTAAGTCATCCATAACATGTAAGCAGAGGGGGAGGGGGCTCGCAGTGCAGGTGACCAATGGCCCAGGCTGGATCGGGAAAGTCAACTAGTGTCAAACATGGATGAATAACAACTGGCATATGCGCACAAAAAACATTTCGATCACTTGCGATCATCTTGAGTGGTCGCTCCCAGCGTAAGGCTGCTATTTAAAAGGAAGCAAGCGACTAGCCGGCTGGAGAAGAGCAAGCGTCGCATCAGTATGTTCTTTTATATCTCCACAGGGCTTTAGAGTTACATCTAGGGCGTTTCCCAGAAGCGACGCGCATTCAAAAGTGACGAGTGCGAATTTTGAAAAAGGTCTGCCGCCTCAAAAAAATGAAAGACGACTAGAATCGCTACTTTATAGTAAAAAGCAACGACACAAGTCTTTAAAAATGCTCGGACTGGCTATCATCAATGTAGGACCTTACCGCGCTATGCCGAGAAATAGCGGATTTTCTCAGAAGACGAGAAGTGGATATAGGTTGGGTTCAGGAGACCAAATGAAAAGGAGAGAAATCACGCGATGTAGGAGGCGAACACAAGCTCTTATACAAAGATACGAGTAACCAGGGTTGAGCGTGAGGTCAGGCGCGCCCGACCTGGGGGGGGGGGGTCGTATTGGGGGTAATAGCAAGGGGGGGGGGGGGCGTAATCAAGAGTCGAATTTGTTCAAAAATGAGAAAATACTACGATCGAGTAAGGTGAAGAAGAAAAGCGCTCAATCATGAATCTCATACCTCCACCAGAGGAATGACTATCGTGAACTGCATGCTGATTTACCCGACTAGCGAAGTCTCAGCCAAATTTTCGTTCTTCTATTACACATGCCGTAAGGTCACCAGAGAAGCTTTTCATGTAAATTGGGTATGATTTCCTTAATAAGCATGCCAATGACCTCAACGAGCTCCACAAACCATTGCCTATTACACTTTCTAGTGTTTCTTAGCGTTTAAAAAGCATGATTTTAAAACATGATTAACTTAATCACAAAAGTGAAAGAAGTGAGCTTTTTAGCGTTCGTAGCGAAGTATTTCTCTTAATCAGTCTTTAATAAAAACTGGACTTCATATCGCTTTCAAATAATGGATAAAGAAGTGCTGCCAAAATGTTAGTCACCGCGTTTTCTACCTCGAGTGCTTCAGCTCCACTTATCACTACAAAATCAAAACAAGTCGAGGTAAGCTCAAACACCTTGTGTAGAATCTTCGAGGTTTGTGCTAGCGAACCATATAAAACTGAGGTCGAAAAGCTTCTTCGGCGATAAAGTTAATCGGGTCAGGCGCAACCCCTCAAAAGCTCAGGCCGCCTGAGCTTTTGAGGGGTTGCGCCTGACCCCATTAACTTATCTTCAAACAATCGCAAACTTTCCATTTTTTCACTCATACTATTGTTTGATCCTTTCTCTCTCCACAGCCAAAATTTGATCAGATTTAGTCACCTCTCGAAAAAGTTATCAGTGGTTAATCCCACCCATCCACCGAAGAACGATCGTCGTTTTTGTCCCTTTAATTTCGTCCTACTGTAAAACGCACCTCGTGCATTGCGATTGCCGTCCCTGTCACCGGCGGCTGTCACCAAGTTTTTTGTTCCTTCCTACTTTCTTTCTTTTCTAGCTCTTCTCAGTGTTCCTCCTCTACTTAAGGTGTTGTCATATCCGTGTTGTTGTCGGATTAACGCGATTCTCATTTGTGCGGAAATGGATCGCAGAAATACAAGTTAGAGTGAGCAAATGCGGAAAGGAGATAGTTGCTGCAGATGCAAGCAATGTAAGTCCAAATTTTATCGAGGTCTTTTCTTCTTTTATTTCCACATATTTGATTGTTTTGGCTGCAATAACCAATTATCTTTTCTCTGTTCGAGTCTCGTCATACTCACTGCGCGCTTTTGCAGCTGTCGTTTGGAACATGCCGTGTAGGTAGTTTTTGGAAATTTTACGTTGCGTCAAAAGAACGAGTGGACAAATTCGTGCAGTTTTGTTCTTGCTTAAATGAAGTTTGGTTCTGAGCATCGCGCAGTTTTGACTATCTAGACAAACCATTTTGAGTAGAAATTTTGCACAGGTGAACTGAGCTCACCAAATGTGCACCTGAGATTGGATTAGATATTGAGGTATCTACTGATAATTATGGAAGCTATTCCTGCATTCTTGTGCGTATAACTTGCTAAAGCTGAGTTTTTATGTTTAGGCAGTGGTCAGCGAATTTGATTGGAGTAAAGTTGTACAAGGACAGATTCTTGGAGCCTTTTTCTGAAATTACCTCTGAAGTTAAGTGAGTTCATCTTTTTTGTTCTCTCTGAAGACCTGAGCATCGTTCTGGTAGTCATATGATGGTTTAGGTCTTTGGTGGTTACTTGGTCTCACGGTGGAGGAAAACGAGTAGTCCTTATGGTGGTTACTTGGTCTCACGGTGGAGGAAAACGAGTAGTCCTTACTTGTATTTTAGGCTCCTCTCTACTTACACTAGCTAGCCGTGTAGCCGCTCGTACCGTCCTTATGTTTTGGTTGCCCTTCGTGTGGCCATCGGATTTCTGCAGGTAGGTTGTTTTTTGCCTAGGTATGCACTTCCTAGATGTTTTGTATTCTCTTACAGGGTGCAAAATTCCCTGCAATGCACACAATGTGGTCGGTTTGAGATCCTCCGCTTGAGCTTTCGATCCTTTCTGGTGTAACCTACGCAGGTAAACCTACTATGACTCTGTTTTTTGTCGTACCAGTGCATGAATAATCTAGGAGCTCAGATTGGAAATCTATTCGTGTTGCCGTTTTCGGGTTTCCTCTGTCAGTATGGTTTTGATGGCGGTTGGCCGAGTATCTTATACATTTTAGGTATGTTGCTTCATTGATTAAGTCAGGTGTTCTCCGGTTTTTTTAATGGTCTTTTTTTCAGGGACTTATGGGATGTTATGGTGTGCTATTTGGATGTACAAGTCTTTTGATAGACCTATAAATCACCCCCGAATCTCTGAGGCAGAAAAGCAATGCATCACAAAGGCTGTTGAAGAAAGTGTGGGAAAACACACAGGCAAGGTTGGATAAATTTTGAAAATAACTAGAAGTTTACGTCTTCTGTTTTCTTTTAGCCCCCTAGCACACCAAAAGGTATCATTCTGACATCAAGAGCCGTTTGGGGCTGGTTCGGTCACTTTGCCGGCGACTGGGGAGCTTACACTATGCTTGTATGTGCTAGTCTCGATCTGTCCTTAGTATGTTCTCTAAAAATATTTCCAACCTTGACTAATTGTTAGCTGTACTAGCTTTCGTTTGTTATGAACCTATCATTTGTCATATTCTTTGTTCCACCCACCTTGTCAAATGTGATTTCATCAGTTCTTTTGGATTTTTGCTACGAGAACAGTTTTACCATTTTAGCTTGGAGTGTTCCGAGTTCATTGCATGCCGATCTCCTTGCATTTCGGTTGTGCTGGTTAGTCACGATTATCGTGTTGGAGAACTATCACAATCGAAATGCAAGAAGATCGGCATGCAATGAAATGTTACAGTTGTGTTGTCGCAATCAGTCGCGACGATGATTCATGTGAACTCTGCCCGAGGCCTAATCTTGACGGAATGGAAAACCTCTATATGCAGAAAAAGACTCGTAGGAGAAGCCAGTTTTTGCTGTTTTTGCGTTCACCAAGGCGATTCTCAGATACATACGGATCTCAATTAGGCAAAATGTTGGGTTGATTTGTAACCTAGCGAAGCTTCCAAACTTCTTTTCTCTTTTACTTTCTTTCTATCATCAAAGGGTGGTGCTATGGAGGAAATGAAAAGATATCACGGCTAATTGGTTTGGATCCTCCAAAATTCTAACAATTTGTGTTTGTTGACAATTTTGGTACTTTTGTAACCTCAGAGTGTATTAGTTCATAGTACTGCTCGTGCTTTGCGGAAGACTTGAAACAAATGTACTGTGAAATTTTTATTAAAGTCATTTCGTTTTCTTATATGAATGGTTTTGCGTTTGGGTGGCAAGGAACTGCATCTAATATCATTTACTAGAATTCTCTTCTAACCACCCATAGAAATGAAAGGATCTGGTCAATAGATCTATGCGAGAATTCGACAAAAATGCTACCAGAAATGACATTATAACAAATAGTCTCTTTAAATCAAATACTCCAAGAAATGTTAAAACCACTGTCATATGGAACAATTATTCTCCCTGTTACTACCTGTACAGAAATCTAATGATCCGAACTTTTGCACAAAATCTCTTTTCCCCCTCTATCCCTCCCCCTTCCCACCCTCTCTCCCTCGTCTACCTCATCCCATTTTCAGATTGTAAATTTCGACTTCATTGTACCTTTTATTGAACCGCTGATTTTGAAGGAAAAAAGAATTTCGCGAGCATTGCTCACATCAATTGAAAGCTTTCTTCTAGTTTTTCATGTATGCTTTCATTTTCAAAGTGCTTTTACAGCAAAATAAATATGGAACTTTGCCCTTGTCTTATTGCCGTGATATCTACAGACAAAAGAAAGATTCTTTTCTAAAAGTTTTTAGTATTTTTTGAGAGTTTTTAATGTTTTTGTTTTGTCTTTGCGTTTTTGCTGATTTCTACTTCCTTAGCGCGCTAAAAAATAGCTTAACAGGAAGTCGACAACTCCACAAAGTACTAAATTTTGAAAATGACGTGAGTGACACCATTATAATCAGCGAGTTGTCCAAGCCGATGTCAATGAGCAATGTAAGTCATCTTTTCCTCCTTCATGCTTCAAGCGTTCATCGAACACATCGAAGGACCTGTCGAAGCTGTCGAAAATCAAAAAGTTCGAAGATTGTGCTCAGACAATCGCCGGGGGCAGGCGGGCACCGGAAAAGTAGATTGCTGATTTCTCGCACCCCGCTCGCGGATTTTTTGCAAAGCAAACAGGACTTTTCGGAAGACCGCTTGCTGAGCCAGCGGATCTTTGAGAGTCCGCCTGTTGAATTTTTTTTCGCTCTTATCTTTTGCAGATATATTGCTGAATCTCTGAGGAATCGAGAACACAGCAAGCGGTCTTCCGAATAGTCCCGATTGCTTTCCAAAAAATCCGCGAGCGGGGTGCGAGAGATCAGCAATCTATTTTTCCGGTGCCCGCCTGCCCCCGGCGATTGTCTGAGTGTTTGCTAGGAAAGTCGAGAGCTGGGGGGGGGGGGGTAGGAGGGAAGGGGGGTCGCAATCTAACGCGATCATGGGGGGGGGGTCGTTTTTGGTCGGGCTGCGCCTGACCCCTTGCTCAACCCTGCGAGTAACAGCAGGAACGGAGTCGGCATAATTATGTGAAAGGTCAAGAAACAGAATAACTGGCGTGGATTGAGAAAGTGACCGACTCATGAACATCAGAATAGAAAATGGGAAGCGTATCTTACGAATACACTGCTCACGCACCACCAACAGTTTGCAGTGGGGTTGAAAAGGATGTGTTTTGGGAAAGCTTTGACAACCGTGTTACTCGGAGAAATGCTACTTATTGGAGCAGGGGCGGTATGTATCAATCGTCCATCGGGTAAGTGTTCCCATTTAGGTAGTATCCGCTCTATAGCTCGGTGCTTTGAGGTCTGTGTCCTTTCTTGCTTGGTCATCTTTTGTGCCCTACTACCCTGATATGTAGCATAATGAATAGCAGCACTTTGCTGTACAAGCTCAAATTTCGTTATTTTATATGATCCCGAACGGGATCCTCGCGGGATCACGGCTTATTTTTTAAATCATTTACCCTAGCAAAAATCTAATAAAAAAAATTGAGTTGTCGAGATTTTCGATGGACCTCTGCTTGCGGCTGGGTTTATCGCAAAACTCACAACTTTCACTTTTCATCTGCGCTACTGGAAACATGCTCAGCAATGTCATTAAGTCTTCAGCACAACTTTACGGCGTTTTCATTGAGTTTCTGCCAATATAATCAACTTTGATAATGGGCCATGATCGTGGTGGGATTATACAAATAATGGATTATCTCAGCTAATTCAGCAAAGCTGCTAAAGTGCGGTTCATAATTACACGAACACCGAAAATTTTGTAAGTTTTCGGACTTTTTGGGAGAAACTCAAAAAGCCATTGGTACCACGCGATAGAACACAGCCGAAAACGGTATATGATCCAAAAGAATGAGAATTGATGTCAATCTTAGGAGTGTTTTTGCGCCTAATGTGAATTTTTAGCGGTTCATAATTATACGAACACCTCAAACAAAGGTCCATTTTTCATTCAAGATTGCAATCATTTGAGTCCAAATTTTTGTAGAGTTACAGTAACAAAGTCTGACATATCTGCTACACACTAGACCCAGTGCAATTCAAAAAGAGGATCCTCACTTTTTTCAGATGGCTCTAAATGCTTTTGAGTGCCTGCGCTCCAAGAACATGCGTTCTTCTGTGGTTTACACGCTCTAATTAGCTTCTACCAAAGCTATGAGATAAAATAAGCTCTTTCGATAGATATTTTGTTAGACGCTTGGAAAATCCTTGCGTTTTCGTGCCGTTTTCAACCAAGTTCCAACCTTACCTTAGAGTTAGCACGATTTCGAGCCTCAAAACTCAGCTTTTGAAGCCGTACGATGAAGTAAGCATATAGCATATAGAAGTTCACAAGACTGTATATTTGCCTAGAAAAAATCAGCAGCGTTGAGCGTTTGTTTTGGCCACGCAGACGTCATTTCATCAAGAACACTGTTTTACTAGCAAACACATCTTTATTTGGTTTGTAGCTCCACAGCCTTAAGACCAGTTCTACAAAAAACCCGAAAGCTTTGGCACGGAAACATCATCATGCAAACAATGCAGCTGCTCCATATCAAATGTTTGCGCAAGAGAGAAGCTGAGTTTTGAGGCTCAAAATTGTGCTAACTCTGTGGTAAATTTGGAACTTAGTTAGAAAAACGGCACGAAAACGCAAAGATTTTCCAAGCGTCAAACAAAGTACCTATCGAAAGAGCTTATACTATCTCATAGCTTTGGTAGAAGCTAACTGGAGCGTGTAAACCACAAAAGAGCGGATGTTTTTGGAGCGCAATCACTCCAGATGCATTTAGAGCCTTAAGAAAAAAGTAACGGTCCTCTTTTTGAACTGCACTGAGTTCAGTGTGTAGCCGATGTGTCAGACTTTGCTACTGTAACTCTACAAAAAATTTGGACTGAAATGATTGCAATCTTGAATGAAAAATGGACGTTTGATTGAAGTGTTCGTATAATTATGAACCGCTAAAGCATTATACTCAAAAACACCCCTAAATTGATATCAATTTCCATTCTTATGGATCATGTACCGTTTTCGGCTGTGTTCTATCGCGTGGTACCAACGGCTTTTTGAGTTTTTCCTAAAAAGTCCGAAAACTTACAAAATTTTAAGTGTTCGTATAATTATGAACCGCACTTTATTCTTATGCTACAATATAGGGCAACGGATCCTCCAAAAGATGAACAAACAAGGAAGAACACAGACCCCAGAGCACCGAGCTACGAAGCGGATACTACCTATATGGGAACTCTCACCCATACGGGCGATATATACATACCGTCCCAGATCTCAACGGCCATGTGGGGAACGACGAAGAAGTGCAGGAATGTGTCTTGGAGATCACGGATACGGGTCACGCAATGAAGGTGGCGAACACATCCCAAGTTTGCTACTACACATGACTTGGCGTAATGAATAACTATTTCATAAAAGGAAATAATCATCTGATTACGTACGCCAGCGGAGGTTAAAAATCGCAGATAGAATTTTGAAGCGTTCGGCATGACGATCTTAAATACGTGAAAGATAGCAAGGTGATCCCTCCTTGGCAAAGACTGCATACCGCAGCATAGATCCCTTCTGTTTGATTTGTTTATTCCAATCGACAGGGAAAGAAGAATGGTGACGGAACAGAGAACACTTATTAAATGGTGGAAGCTGAAGAACGATACCTGCACCAAGGCGGCAATGAAAGCAATGAAATTGGAGAGCCGTAAAAAATTCTCCTGGACAGCCTAAAACAGCATCGGTAGCTAGCAAGCTAGTGGGTCATACCAAATCCGGAATACTAAAACTTGATAAGGAAATATGGTGGTGGAACAAAAACGTACAGGTCGTGATAAAGAGAAAGAAGACAGCTTACAGGTATGGCGAAAGATACAAACGGAAGGTGCTCACCAGACGTACGTAGACGCGAAACCTGCAGCGAAGAATTGTTAAAAAGGCAAAAGAAGAGTATGGAGAAGATTACAGGAAACTCTACAACCGCAAGGGCGAACGCGACATTTATCGAATTAAAAGAATAACAACTGTTTCAACAGAGAGCATAGAGTATAGAGCATCTTTACAATATCAAGGACGTAAATGGCAAAGTACCTAGAAGCCACAAGAAATTATGGAAAGATGGAGAACACATTTCGGAGGAATGGCATCCGCGAGCCACGAGTACGCATCTACTCTAGAACCCGATCCTGTGCTTGAACTACCCAGCATTACGGAGGAAGAAGTTCACTTTGCCATAATGAAGACTATAAAAGGCAGGGCGACATGCCCAGACGATGTCCCCTACGAATTTTGCAAGGAAAGCGGACAAGCTGGAGTGACTTGGCTCACACAACTTCTGAATCAGATTGTAGATGCAAAAAACATGCTAAGCGAGTGGTGCAAAAGTACAGCGGTACCGATACGGAAGAACAAAGGCGACATAGCTGACTGTTCGACGTACCGGCCTATCCGACTCATGTGCCACACACTGATGATCTTTGAAAAAATTTTAGAAACGCGACTGCGAAGCATCGTGGACCTGGCCTCTAACCAGCTCGGATTCGTGTGGATAGCATCTGTCACAGCATGACAGATGCTATCCACACTGTAAGGATAATGATGGAAAAAACTAGGGAAGGGCGATGCGAACTACATGCACGTTCCTCGACTTGGAAAAAGCTGGTAAGGTGCCGCATGACGTTATATGGTGGTCGCTACGAAAGCACATGGTGCCAGAAGTACGTGGATTAGAATGATATACGAAAAAGCCACTAGCCACGTTCAGACAGCAGCTGGTCCTTTGAAAGACTCCTAAATCAACGCTGGCGTTCACCAAGTTCCGTGCAGTCGCCCTTCCTTTTCATCACGATCTCGTGGACACGATAGTGACGAGCTTCATAAGTAAACCTCCATAGGCCTTGATGTACGCAGACGACATGTTGCTAATGGTAAGAGACAGGAAAGAATTGGAGGAGGAAGTGCAAGAGTGAAGGACTCAACATGAACTGCACGGTCTGAAGATTAATATCACAAAGACAGAGTACATAGAGCTGGAAGTTCAAACGTCGGGGACCATTCAAACGACAGTATCCCAATCAAAAAACCTTCAAGTATTTGGGAAGTCATATACCCGCAGATGGTATGCTCCAGGATGAGATCACCTTCAGGATTGGTTCAGCTTGGTCAAAAGGAAGAAGCATTACCGGAATTCTATGCGATGAAAGGATGCCTATCAAGCTGAAATCCCTGTTATACGGTACCGTAGTCCGCCTGGCTGCTCTATACAGCAGCGAATGTTAGCCGTGTACTCTAAATGAAGAAGAAGGGTTAGTGTGATGGAAACACGCATGTTGAAATGGATGACAGGCGTGACTATGATGGATCATGTCACCAACGATACCATAAGGGCCACAATGAAAGTTGCCTCAATCGTGAGAAAAATACAGGAGAATCGACTTTGTTGGTACGAAGATGTGAGATGAAGGATGAGTTAGATTAGCAACGTCTGTGAAGTCTCCGGAAAAATACCCAGAGGAAGACCGATGCTAAGGTAGATTGATAAAGTTAAGGCAGAGTTGAACGAACTTGACTCAAATGAACATCAACCTGAAGACTACGAAGAATGGAGAAGACTCACAAAAGTAAAAGAATGGAATCATAATAACTCGTTGATTCGTTGGGTTTTGTATAACATACGAGCACTTCATTGCTTTTTCATAAAGAACGGCTTGGACGTATTAAATAGAAAGGAAAATGAAATAAAGCGCAGCGGACCTCATACTAGGGAAGAACGCAAGGATAAAAAATGGTGCACAAAAAACATACCGAGGACATTAGTGCCAAAACAATGCCGGCTTTCTCGAACGCTCTGAAATAGCGATATCACGTTTAGAGTATCATAAACGTCCAACGTAGGTCGTAAAGTCTTTCTAACATACTTGAGCAAAGTAGCAAAGAACAGTGCAATAGTATAGCAACAAGGCTAGACTGCGATGTTTAGTGCAATAGTAAAGATAGAAGAATTGTGTATCAGTCAGATTTGCAATCAATATTGAGGCTCAGCTTTAACTGTATTGAAAATACTAACAGATTTAGTTTAAGAGCAAATCGGAGTGAAGAGGAGTCTTTACAAGCTTTAATGATCCATTGTTCGGATTATCATACCTTACTTCTGCTGGTCAGCTCTATTTATGTCATGCTGTTATGAACTGGAAAGAAAGCAGTTAGCAGCGCTTGAATCAGCACAATAAAGGAAATTTCAACCAAGAAATTCTTATATTATCAGTAGTTGTAAAAACTATGACGGATATTAGTTAGTTTAATAGCAAAAGTAACTTTGCCAAAAAACCTCAGAGCAGGACAATATGTATCAATGTCCCGTTCGAGTAGATGTTCTCGTACAAGTCGTAATCCAGTCAGACGCCGGCGCCCATGGCCCATGATGCGCGAACGTGGACGCCTGACCGTGCAAGAGTCCAGTCAGGCAGAATCGTGTAGGTCTGCAGTGCCCAAACTCCTAACCGTACCCGACCTTGTTTGTGTGTAAATTGTGTGAAAAAGCGCCTCTCTTTGACAAAGTAGCCAAGAACGTTAGCAAATCACTAGTCATTCAGTAAAATTGGAAATTTGTTATGTTGCAAGAAATTTGTCTAATTTGACATTCGATCTGATTTTATATTGAGATCTACAAGAGATTCAGATCCCATTTGGGAGATGGCGTTGTGAAATTCTTGTAGAACAAAGGAAGTAGTTTTGAGCAAAAATAGCGAAGAGAGAATGACGAACACAAGAACAAACGTTTTGTCGCATATGCAGAGCAGAAAAGCGCTCATTCTTCAATCCCGTTTCGAGTTCGAAATTCTGCTGATCAAACAAGGAAGCGGAGTGTAGGAATAAGGCCAAAATGAGAGAAATCCGAAAGAAAAACCGCTGAGAAGGTCAAAATTCTCAAAGTTCAAAGGGCGCGGGGCGGCTGCAGCGCATGCAGCACAGTGAACAGTTCCAGCACAGTGTGAAAATTGTGCGGGAACTGTGCGGCAGTTCCAAAACATGGGAATCAGTATGAACCCAGACTTCACTTCCATTGCGAGACATGCACATACTTCTAGGGCGGTAAGTATCAATCTCCCGTTTGTGTAGGTGTTCCCGTACAAGTCGTAATCCAGCCAAGCGCGGGCGCCCAAAGCCCATGATGCGCGAACGTGGATGCCTGACCATGCAAGAGCCCGGTTAGGCAAAATCGGGTAAGTCTGCAATGCTTGAATACCTACCCGATCTCGTTTGTGTATAGTGTAAAAAATAGAGCGTTTCTTTAGCAGGTGGCGCAGAACGTTGACAAATTGAACAATTCAATTTCTATTCATCAAACACGATATAGAAATTGTTATGTTGCAGAGATTTGTCTGATTTGACATTTAATTTGATCTGATTATAAAATAGGAAGCAGCTGCATAGTTTACACAACCATCTGTCTGGTTAGTGTATGCGATTAATTCTGAAAATGCAATCGGGACTTTTTTTGTTTTCTGATGAGTTTCGTTTTTGGGCGTTCTCAGCCCCTTTCCTTTTTCCATATAGTTGCTTCTCCTTTCTTTCTTCTACCCCGCTTCTCCTTGTGATGAGAAAAGCTGCGAATTTGAAGCGGTGTTGAAGATTGGATGATGTATTGCTTCATGTATCCGGGAAGGTGAGCCTTCATGCGCTCGTCCATCTTCTCTGCCAATTTTTTTTCAGGCCTACTCCTGTGTTCTAAAGACCTTTCTATATTAATCTCAATACAGATGCGAGACTAGGCAGCGCCTTCCTAGAACCCGTGAAGTAGGTCTGAACAGAAATAGCGAAGAGAGAATGGATGAGCGCACGAAGGCTCATCTTCCTGGATACATGGAGCGGAACAGCGTTCAATCCTCAACCCCGCTTCAAGTTCGCAGCTTTTCTCATCACAAGGAGAAGTGGGGTGGAAGAAAGTACGGAGAAGCAACGATATGAAAAAAGGAAAGGGGCTGAGAACACTCGAAAACGAAACTCCTCAAAAATAAGAGAACCCAATCTATGCAATTTCAGAACTGCTCCTACCCCTAATTTGTGGCAGATGGTCATGGAAATTATGCAGCGGCTTCGTGGAACAAATGAAGTAATTTTGAGCAAAAATAGCGAAGAGAGAACGGACGAGCACAAGAACACACTTTTTGTCGCATACGCAGAGCAGAAAAGCGCTCATTCTTCAACCCCGCTTCGAATTCTGCTGATCAAAAACAGGGAAGCGGGTGGAGGAATAAGGCCAAAATGAGAGAAATCTGAAGGAAAAACCGTTGAAAACGGTCAAACTTCTCCAATTTGCCCCGTTCAAAACGGTGCAGGGCGTCTGCAGTGCATGCAGCACAGTTCCGGAACAGTTGCAGCACAGTGCGAGCTGTGCGGGAACAGTTTCAAAAAATGGGAATCAGTTTGAACCCAGCCATAGAGAATAAAGCATGAAGATAACTGCTCACTATTTCCCTCTTGATAATGAAGGCAATATCTCATCAAGCTCTGGGTGTAGGAAATTTTGTATCTATTAGGTTATTCCATAAGTCTTTTCATTTTCGAGTTTTCGTTGTAACTAGTTTGCTTTTCCGCCCCACCCTGGGTCATTGGTCACCTACACTGCGAACCCCCCTCTCCCTCCTTCTTATATGTTATGGATGACTTACTTTGGACCCCCTACAAAACCGCATCCTCGTGATCCTGAGGTGAAAATGAGCTTCACCACTCTCCTTAACATGACTATGGGAAAATGCTTGATTGAATATAATAAGCCCTCAATTCCTTAGAAAAACGTAAAATCAATAAATCGATAGAAGGACCCAACGAATCGCTGCAAAAACTAGCCTATCATCTGCGCAGGATCGAAAACATATGTGTGTAAAGTTTCAGCTGAATCGGTTGAGCGGCGCGCGTTTCTATAACGCACATACCCTCTAAACCGACAATTTTCGAGTTATACAGAGTGTCCCAAGAAAATGTGAACACTGTTTGATCGCTAACAACTCTCTTGCTTTTATGTCTTCCGCCGAGCTCGAGGCACCATTCTATAGAGCGAGGCCTAACTTAGAGCTACAGTATGGAGCGAGTCGTTGATCGCTCTTCATTACTGTAGGATTACGGTAAAAACTTTGACAAGGATTTTAAGCCGTTGAAAGCCATATTCTGCCTCGGAACAAAACCAAACAGGCCAAAAACTTTTATACATGGGTAATGGAAGCCGCTGAGTTCGAATATGAAATTTCCACTTTACTGTGACGCTTCCTTTTGAGGTTATCCCAGGTAAACCTTAATAACCGAATTTCCAGCATTTGTCAAAAATGTGATTACACCGTCAAAAAAGCTAAAAACACCCGTAAAAAGGTGCGTTATGGAATCAGCGTGCGCGAAACCCTTAGCACACAATTTTTCAGATTTTTTGAAAAAAATTTTGTCAAATGGCATATTTCACAATAGATCCACATGCCAGAAGTCCATACCGTAATCCTATAGTAATGAATAGCGATCAGTGATTCGCTCTATACTACAAATCTAAGTTGAACCTCGCTCTACAGAATGGTGCTTCAAGCTCGGCGGAAGAAATAAAAGCAACGGAGTTATTAACGATCAAACAGTGTTACATTTTTTGGGACATCCTGTATATATATTAACTTGGTGCAAAAGTTCTGTCGGAAAAATCACAACTTTGCGCCGTCACAACTGATTTACTTTTTCATATTTTTATTAGAAAGTGTAAATCTTTCGCTTTCGAAAGCTGTTTTGCTGAGCTTGCACTTCACACTGGGTGCGGAGATAAAAATGGATAACTAAGACCATATAAGCTTTGAACATTTTAAGCTAGGTCACCAAAAATCGGGAACGCTGCAGAAAAATGTGAAATCGTCAGTACTTGAGTTTTTTGGCCTACCCTTTACGACTGTAAAGAGTTTATGCTGTTTGGACTTCTCTGTGAGAAGTTATGAGTATCGAGTACTATGGAAAACGCCAAAATCAATCAAATTGTCAATTTTCGCGAAAATCATTACTTCTCACAGAAACGTCCAAACAGCACAAACTTTTCACAGTTGCAAAGAGTAGGCAAAAAACATCTGTACTGACGATTTCACATTTTTCTACAGCGTTCCCGATTTTTGGCGACCTAATTTAAAATGGTCAAAGTTCACATGGTCTTAGTTTTTTCCATTTTTATCTCCGCACTCAGTGTGAACAGGGCTCGGCACGAGGTGGCTTACAAGCAAGCTGGATATCGTTTTTGGGACGAAAAGTAAAGGGGGTTTCGTTTTTGTGACCGAAGAGACACGGAAAATTGGCGACGGCGACCTTTTTTTTTTTAGTCGACGTTTCGTTTTTTGGGGGATTTTGGGGAATTTTTCAGGTTTTTAGAGGAAATTTGGTTGAGGGTCAAAGGGGACTTCGTAAAAATTTCCAAAAGTCAAGGGGGACTTCGTTTTTTCCATTTTCATCTAGCCACCTCGTGCCGAGCCCTGAGTGTGAAGCGCAAGCTCAGCAAAACAGCTTTCGAATGCGAAAGATTTACACAATAAAAATATAAGGAAGTAAATCCGTTGTGACAGCGCAAAGTTATGATTTTTAAAAAATGAAACGACAGAACTTTTGCACCAATCTAATATATATAATATATACAGGGTGTCCCAAAAAAATGTGCACATTGTTTGATTGTAAATAACTCTTTTGTAGTAAAGTGTTTCTAGAACTTTACGTACCATTTTGTAGAGCGAGGTTCGACTTAGATCTACAATGTAGAGCGAATCGCCTATCGCTCATTCTTACTGTACGAGTACGGTAGAAACTTCAAACATATGGTGTC